TGTTTACTTCCTTTGTCGAACCGTGAGGGATGCGAACAGCTGCTTTAGCCCCATCGTACATGCCCTTCACTATGGAGATGAGGTGCTTCGGAACGTTACGTTCTCTAAGCGCTCTCCAAAGCACAGGCCGCGGCAGGCGCATGCTCTCCCAGAACCTTCCATAACTCTATTGGTGCCCGGTCTGGACCCACTGCTTTCCGAACTTTCACACACCCTAGCTCCCGGCGGACTAGGACTTCATCCTTCGTCCAGGGCGTGATGGGATCCTCCGTCGCCTCTATTTGTGGGCTGCCTGCGGGGGAATTCTTCGTTCAGAAGTCCCCAAAGTATTCTTTCCACCTCTTTTTGACTTCGGCTGGTTTCCTGAGAATGGCCCCGTTGTTGCTCTTCACAGTCTTTACGACCCTGTCGGATGTGCTAAGCAGCGCGAGCTTTAGCCAGGCGGTCCGTATTCTTGGCCTTAGCAACGGCAGAAAAGCAGGAGCAGAATATGGTTTGTTTAGCGCCAATCATGCTAACTTTGGATGCGCCGCGCATTGAAGTCCGCGCAGAAGTGATGGGATGGTGATATGTTTGAGCGTAATGTCTGTCCACGCGAGCAAATTTGACTATAGGATTCAGGGAGGTCCATGGCGAACCTGTGCACTTGTTTACAGTGTTTTCCGTTGCGTATGATGGAGCGTGTCCCTGTCGACGCCGCCAGATTCGTGCTCCGCCAATTGCTGATTCCGATGAAGGAAATCAACAGCTGGAAAACGTCTTATACGAACGATATGGTAGTCCTGCCGTTTGTCGAAAAAAACAGGTTGGCTCAGCGCCAAGCGCGATCGCGGAAACGCCCCATCATCCGCAGCGAACCAGAGTATTAGTTGTACTGTTTAGTCACTTACGAAATGATGTCGACTTTTTATATTTCCAGCTATTTCAGATTAGTTTGTTGGATGAAAGTTTTGTACGATTTTTTTATATATCCGAGTTCTCTCTAAAGCAAGCTTCGCTCTACAGTACTCAGCCACCGATGCTCGTTACTGGCTACCGCACTTACGACCCCCCCCTCTCCTGGCGGCCAAATACGACCCCCCCCCCTGTTGGGGATTCCCCAACCAACGATGTGCCCTGCTTAATTGGCTTGTAGGCATGTAGTGAGATACATTTCAGTGATCTCCGCAACATCCCACCCCGCAAGCGTTTAGCGCTATAGTGGCGCCAAACAGCGCCAAAAAGAGGTGTTGGGATCGTGATCGGGCCCATCAATTACCATAGTAAACTAAGTTTCAAGAACAAAAAAAATTTCCGACCTCTTTCGCTGTTAATGGGCCAGCTGGGTGATGATCAGTGTGACACCTGAACACTCACATCTCCACTACCGTGTAGGTCACCGGTGGGACCAACCGTCATAGTCTGCATTCTTAAATTAAGCACGTCTTCGAAAAAACTCGTGCTAGTAGCAGAGCACCCAAGCGAGCCTTGTGAATCTTTCTCGATTTCTTCCGCCCAGGCTTTAACAAACCCCTCGTTACCCCCCTGCGCGGGAGAAGATAACTTCATACACTTTGACTTTTCGAGTGTAAATGGAGTGCAGCAGTTATGCGGCTCTATTTTTCCGACTTTTAATGTTGTTATATGCGTTTATATACTAGTAAAGGGAGAGTTTCAAGCAAGGAGGTTGGATAACGACTTCTAGAGCAGACTGATAGCCGCCACTGGACATGTTCGGCCATCATAACCCAAAAAACTCGAGGAAAAAAATCTCTAAATCTTCGTATACAGGGGTAACTGAGGCTCCCCATTATAATTCTGACACTTCTTTTTCGCCCGAGGCCATTTGAAGCCAGCTTGTCGCTGAGTAGTCCCTGCGCACAGGTTGTCACAGCTGCTAAGATTCACTAAGGGCAACAGAAGGAAAAAGTCGGGAAATTCATGGCGCGGGTCGCAGCAAATGTAGGAAGCCAGTTTCATCAGGTGGTATAGAGGGTTGACGGGAACACTGTTGGTGGGTTATAGAACGCTATCACAGCTGACGATAGAATAAGGGCAACAGAAGGGAAAAATCAAAATTCTTAGCGCGCGTCGCAGCAAATATAGGAAGTCAGTTTCATCAGGCAATATAGGGGGAGGGGGTAGAAAACGAACATCAATGAGTGGTGACAGAGAGTAACAACTGACAGCGGCGGATGCAGAATGTTGCCGCTGTTGCGCAGTCGAAATGCGAAGCCCTAACACTACATGCATTATGCACCTTAACGCATTGCGGACCGCTGTACTGTGCTCATTTCCGAAACATTTCACCATTTTACATCACTAATTCATCAGCAATTCCCTTGCTTCCTCTAATCCCTTATAGGTTACGTAACTTCCGAAATTGAGGAGGTATTTTTGCAACGTTAGGATATGGAACAGGAGCCAAATCAATGAAAGAAAGCACCGCATAGAGGCAAATACATGACACACCACGTGTGTCACGCGGTCCGGTACGTGTCAATGATATCGAGCGGGGGGTATGTAGCTTGCCTGAAATAGGAAAGTCAGGAAGAAAAACAAGGGAAATCAAGTACCAACAATCTCAATAACGTTTCACACATCAGTGACATTTTTTCTTTTAAACTCTCGATTACTGAAGAGAAGGATTGCTAAGAGAATATGAAATAAATGTAAAACCACCGTAGCCCAAATAACAGCACGTGCAACCTTCAGCGAGTGGATTGCATAGCAATGGAAAAGGAAAGCTTCCATCGATAAGCATTTCAGTGCAGGTAATGGAAACAGTATTTGTTCGTCTACTCAGCGAACCATATTGCTCTGTATTTTTCGACTGTAGCTTCTAGCTATATCTAGATACATAGTGGGGGAGGCCAAAAAATCACCTTTTTTCATTGACTTTCGAGGCGCCATAAGTTACACACTAAATTACTCTGATGGGAGATTTTTACCACCGTATTATACACACTAAATTACTCTGATGGGAGATTTTTACCACCGTATTAAAGAGCATATTAAATACTATCACGACACTCCGCCACAGACTTCTGGACGAGCTCCATCGAGTGATTCTGGCACGCAACCGCAATGTGATGCTTGAATCAGCGAGATAGTCAATTTCTCTGCCACCGCAGACCATCCTATTGAACTCCGCCTAAACTGGGTAATTGCGAGAGTTCAGTTCAGGTGACCTACTTGGATATTCCTTCTTCTTTAGGTACCCAGCCCCCCTCCATTCCAAGTAGGCGAGAGTTTCTCCAACGCCCTTCGATTCCATGTGGTGGCACCCAATCCTGTAGCAGTACAAAGTTTGCAAGAAGGTACGGGCGACGACATGTGAGGAGGATATTCTTCACGAGTTGCTCGATGTAACCGCCAGCGCTCACCTTATGTCCGGGGACCACGAAGAAAATATTGGTCTTCCCATTCCAGGTACGTCCGGTCCATACCATCAACCCGCGCCTTGACGACTGCGGTGAAGATGATGTCCTAGACCGTGGCGACGTTGTCGGAGCTGCTCGATGTTGAGGTCATCCATATCGAGAGTACCGGTCTCCAGGTAGCTTCTAGTATGGGTGACTCCATACTAGAAATTTCGCAGCTGTTTGGAGGTGACGTGAATTCAAGGTCTTCTAAAGTGAGGCTGCGACTGGAGATGACTTCATGTTTTGGCGTACATGGAGGTGATGGGCAAGAACCAGCTCCTGCTTGTAGAGGAACACTTTGGGTATCTTCCGCCCTGGTACGCGTATCCACGTTCTTTGTCTGGGCAGCGAAAACTTTGCTGGTATGTGACTCGGTCGAAGTGACTTTCCCCCCCCCCTGCATGTATAGTACGGGCGTTAAGGCGGAGCCACCACCCTTACTCCAAATGTAAGCGTGGACTCAAGGGTGCAGAATCTGCTGGGTTACTCTATCTAACACAACTCCATCAAAAACAGCGCAGTATTAGCAGCTCAGTGGAACAAATTTCGTTTCCATTATGAAGCGCGCCTGGCGAAGTCAGGCCAGCTAAAGAGAAGGAGCGGAGCTCGGTGTCAGCCGGGCGATCCGACTGGGACACTCGCCGAAAGTTTGGGGTTCCGCACAGAAATGTTCATAATTCGCTTCCGGAACAGCTCGATGGGGGGAAAAAGTGGAATGAGGGGCGAATCGACTCTGTCCGATTTACCGTGCCCCTTGCCCGAACTCAATAGGTGCTTCTATCCCATAAAAAAGAGCATCCAGCCATTGTAGAGCAACTGGGTCACAGAATTAGAGGTCGCTATTCCGTCCGGAAATATCGGGGCTCATGGCAAGAGAATCAGTTCTCGAAGTACTCAGAACAACTGTATCAGCTGGCCTATCGGAGATGCAGTTTCTCTTACATTGAATTTTGTATGGAAGGTAGAGTTTCACTTAATAAGCTCTATTTGGATCGACATATAATCTACTGCTCTACAAGGCACTGTGTTTAATTTCTATTCTTTTTCGGCTATTTTCGATTGTTAGTTCATTGAAATAGAGAATCGGTTCAAAAAATGAGAGTGTTTGAACCATCTTTTTGCACTTAATCTAGCCTCTCAAATTACAAAAGCAACTCAAGAATTGTGATGGGTGCAACCTAACAAGGATGCCTTTCAGGATAGCTTAAGGTTGGTTCAAGCGACTGTGAGATGGGAATTTCGAATTTGTAAATGTGTATGGTATTGTACGCCTTTTTTAGTTTGAATGCTTGCGGGACCTATGCATCAAGTTCTTGAACCTCTCCCATCAAGTGAAGATGGTGCTCACTGAAAACGTGGAAGCCTTCCATGACATCTACCACCTTCCAGTTTCCATTCAAGGACCTTTTTGAACACCCTGATTCAGCCAAAGACGGAATAAATCGCCTTTGCTAAATACTCAGTTTGAGTTGAAGTAGTTGCAAGTACGAAGGTGTCGATCCCAACATCTGATTTAACAGCAATGTCTACAACATATTCTCGCAAGCTTATCCTCCATATTCTTTTATCTCTCAAGAACGTTGTGGAGAAACTCACCTTGCTGGCTCATAAGCAAGTTCACGTGTTCAATGACGTCAAGGAACAGCTCATTTCGTCGATATTTTATGCCCTCTCGCCTCCATCCTATTTGTCCAGTCACTTGAGAGGTTATCTGCGACTGCTCGTCCTTTGTCTGAATATGTTACATATCAGTTGACCTTTCGGATCAATGAGTCCCAGTGAGCGATGATGAGAAAGAATAACTCGACAGATAAAGAAGCCACACTCTCAAGTAAGAGGCATGCTATCCTCGTTCACAGCAGCTGTTTAGAGGGAACCGGTTATACCCGAAAAAGGAATGGGAGAAGAAATTATCTCAAACTCATAAGCACTCACAAATGGGGAGCTTCAATAGTAACGTTGTTTTTGGAGTGCTAACATAGCAGGGATGGTCAAGCGGGTAAGAGTGTAGCTCATGTTTGTTCTCTCATTCGACCCCTGCCGAGGCAAAACCCATGCCTTGCAAAAATGCAAAAATGGTGACGATACTAGCATCAGGCTCAGGTTAACAAACGGAGAACCTCGTCACAATAATCATGTCTAAAGGCACGTTCCGCAGTAAGCTAAGGCTAGGTTCCCATAGTTGTGAACGATGGTCAAGCAGGCAACGTTAAAGGTTATGCTGCTTTTGAAGGTTGAAAAACAGCAAGCAAAACGTAGGGCGCTCAGGTTTTAGGCCCATTTGCGCCCGATAGGCCCATGCCGGCCTCCAGCGACCGCGTCGTTGTGAGACTGCCATTGCGCTCTCTCGCCCGTCGTTTTCCGGCTCTTGTCAGTGTATCGCCGCCTTTCGCAATTCTCAATTAATCTTGACCACCTTACGCTCGTCCGGTGTCATGATCAATTGAAATAAAGAGGGTCTTATTGTGGGCGCTTTTTCGTGGTTCCTTCTCCTCAATAAGTCATCATTCACAGGGCACTTCTATCTTTGAACTGTATTACCTATGAAGTGTGGTCGCGGGAATTGCCTTTAAATGTCAAAACAGAAAGGGAAGAAAACGTGTGAAACTGAAAAGACCGGTGTTCTCGGCGCAGACCACTAATGAAGGACATTTCCGTGGACCTTTTAAGAAAACGACGGTGAAAACAGAACGGAGCATACTGTAATTGAAATGTGGAAGCTGCACCATGTGGAAAGGGACGAGCTCAGTCGCGTGGCGCTGGAAGATAGTCTAGCAGAGCTTAGCGGATCAGATCCCACCTGGGCCAATACAGTAAGGGTCTTACAGCATGCGAAAGAATTCCTAGGAGAGATGCGACCTGGGCCCAGAGGTGGCGAGACAGCGTGGTTCTGGAACGAAAAATTAGCAAGTGCTTGAGCGTAAGGCAGTAACGTACTAGCGATGGCAGAAGTCACGCAGCTCAGAAAACCTCGTTGCCTACAGAAGTTGCTTGATTCTCCCAGGCAACCAGAGCCAAAGCGCAACAAGAAACAAAGCGAACATAAAAAATGGATGCCTTGCACGAGAGATTAGACAGCCGAAAAACAGAAAAATATGTCTTCTGCATGGCGAAAGATGGGCATGCATTCACTCAAAATGTCATTGTAGCAAGGACCGTAAAAGACCGCTATTCTAAGGAAGCCAGTCGAAATTATGAAGTGGTAGGAAGAGCAGGACGCACCGTCGAACCAATAATTCTTCCGCAAAGACGACCTACAGATCGAGGCGACGGCAGGTCCCATCACACTCTAAAAAAACGAACGAGGTCCGCCGGAGGTGAGAAGTTATCGAAAGGTTGAGCGGCCCGACCAGGGTGGGTGTACTGATTAAGGCTTGGTAGGCGCTTGTAGCATACGGGGCGAGTTGGATAACAATCTTCCTGGAATTACAGCAGCCGAAGAAGGACGTCAGATACGTGGGGAAACAGCAGCAGCAATGGTCTGCATTTTGGTACGAAAGGGAGATGCGATCAAGTATCGAACTACCGCGACATCAAGTTGACCGCGCAGGGCACGGAGCTTCTTGAACGGTTAGTTGAAGAGTTCCCGCGATGAAATGATGCCTTCGTGCATTTGGCATTCATGTCCGATGTCGCAATAGTATACCACTTTTGTCAATCAAAGAGCGAGACGATCATAGACGCGCCACCTTTGTGGGCTTTCATGTTTTCAGGCTGCAAGACAACGACTTACACGGTGAATTACGTGTAGGCTTTTGTTGTCTACAGTGTTGTAGAACGATTCCATATGCTCGTAGCAAAAAAATCTCAGCTCGTCGACTCTCGTGCCAGCACATGAGTTGTTCTGCTTTCCGCGGATACGGATTTTCGAAAGGATAAGTCGTAGCAATCCATTATGCAAGGCAAGAAGCGCTTACGCGCAGCCTGAATGCACCGGCGAAGCAATAGCGTTGGTGCAAAAGCTCGCGGCTTACTGTAACTGGGAGTATAGACTTTTCGCGTATCTCTGTTACCTATTTTGTTTCAGTAATTTTTTTTCCCTTTTCTTTCTAGTGTTCGATGAGATCATGCGAAGAAAAGATATGATCAGTTGTTGCACAGAGGCAGCAGGATGTCAGTCTGCAAGACTGTCGGAGGAGGGTTTTCGGGTATTCCAAGGTCTTTTCTTGCTTTTTCTCTGCTGCGAGTCACTTATTGGCTACGGCTCACAACTGAACACCCACTACCCGCAATAATGGATCGTTAGAGCCTTCGATACTGAGCTGAAGGGACTTCGTTCTAGATAACAAGAGCGGTTCCGCTTCATGCCTACAGGTCCACCACTGAAGCTACCTTCATCACTAAGCAGGTGATGAAGGGGAAGCGGCGACCCTGCAACATACCTTTCCTGTATTCTGAGAAAGCATTCGATAACTTATATCCTGCGTTTTCGAAAAAAAAACGGGACGTTCCGGAGGACCTGATATCCAAAGTGGAGGAAAAAGAAGCTAAGGCAGCTGTACATACCCCACATACCTTCACAAAGGAGATGGGCATCACGGTTGGGGTACACCTTCTCTCCCTAGCGTTAGTCCCACGCCGTTGCAGGGTCCGCTGTTCTTCCTAGACGTAGCCACTTGCTCCGATCTTCTGCCACGGCTTTCAATTCAGTGAGGTCCTTCTTGACGACGTCCCAAAATATTTTCTTTGGGGCTCCTCGTGGTCGCTTGCGCTCTTCTTCGAACTCCAATGCCTTCCTTATTGGGTGGTCCTCAGGCCTCCTCAGTACGTGCACATACCATCGCAGGCGCGGCTGTCGCGCCTTCTGCTGAATCGGAGCCGCCTGTGTGACCGCCCAGACATCGTCGACTCTGTCGAGTCGTGTCCAGCCGCAGGCCCATCTCAGCATCCTCGTGTCAGCTGAGTGGAGCTGCCTCTCATGGTTCTTGCAGATGGGCCAGCACTCACTACCGTAGAGCATTTTAGGCCTCACCACCGCCCGGTACAGCTTCCCCTTGAGCGTTCTCGAGCATCGCCGGTCGCACAGGATGCCACTGGACTCCTTCCATTCCAACCAGGCTGCGTTATGCGGGCCTTCACCGCCTGGTGCACGCTGCCATCAGCTGCTAGGTCACTCCTCAGATACTGGAAGTTCTCGACCCTTTCGATGCTCTCGATATGGCGTTCTATGATGGGTTCGGTACACTCTTCGGGGCTGAGGAACTTAGCGTTTAGCCGGGGTCCATTCTCAGCGAGCACATCCTGCCACCGCTGCACCTTTTCCTGGAGTTTTCCCTGGTGTCGCATCAGGAGGATGGTCGTATGCATAAGGATTGGTTGTTCAGTGCCCTTCCATGAGTTTCCTGTGCCAATCAGAGTCACGAGGATGAGCAAACGTGCTGAGGGCTAATCCTTGGTTGTACTCCAGGCAGTAATGTTATATCCTTTTGTCAAGCTGTGAGGGTTGTTAGCGCTTAGCCTGCATCGTACATGTCTTTCATATGATGCAGGTGCTCTGGTAACGTTTATTTTCCTAGGCGCTGCTCCAGAGTACAGGCCGAGGCTGATGATTCGAATGCCTTCTTAAGGTCATGGAAGGTCTTACGGGCAGCAGGGTCGCGGCTTATCTCGGTACCTCTCCATCACCNGTTTAGAATAGTGACATCAGCGGTGGACCTTTCGGGCGATGAAGCCGAACTGTTCCTGCGTAGGGACAAGTTCCCTTAGTCTTGTGTTGACCAGGCGCTCGTACAGCTTCATGGTATGGGGAGGTCAACTTGATACCGCGATAGCTGGAGCACTCCATCGCGTCACCTTTTTGTTCGATGATGGGGACGATTGTCCTCCACGCATCCGGCATCCTTCCTTCAGCGGTTACATTGTTTAGAAAGTTTGTGAGCCACCACCCCATGCTCTCCAAGGGGCCTTCATGCCTCTACCGGTACCCCGTCTGGACCCTCTTTCCCAACCTTCATCGTTTCTAGTTCTCGGCGGACCTCATCCTTTATCCAAGGAGTGATGGAACCTGCCGTTGCCTCTATCTGTGAGTTATCCCTGTGATGGAATTCTTCGTTCAGAAGTACCTCGAAGTATTCTTCCCACCTCTTCTTCACTTCGGCTGGTTTCCTGAGAGTAGTCCCATTGCTGCACTTCAGCCTTTACGACCCTGACGTCCTGAGCAGCGCGATGCCAAGCTTTAGCCAGGCGGAAGACGAACTTTTCCCCTTCTCGGCTCTCCATTTTGTCGCACACGGTGTCCATTTCCGTATTCTTGGCCTTAGCAACGGCTACCTTGGCGAGTCGCTTGCAGCTCTTGTAGGCAGCCAAGCCTTCTAAGGTCCTTGTGTTTCGCAAGCGCTTTTGTGCTTCCTTCTTACGCTTGACAACCCCTTTAACTTCCTCGTTCCAAAACAAGCCGCCTTGTCTCCTCTGACCTCTACTGCGTAGCTCCAGGTGTCCTGGACTGGCCCATGTAGGTCCGGAAGCCCAGCCTCCAGCATTCTCGGCCGAGGCTATCCTTTTCTTCCTTGTGCATCACCACCGGATTCTCCGCTCTGTTCTTACCCTCGTTTCCTTGGGGAGGTCTACGGCGATTTGTGCCAGGAGAGTCCTGTGCTGAGGAGCTAGCTCTTCCCCAGGCAGTACCTTCATATCCGTGACGGTTTTGAGAGACAACCTTCTTACCAGGACACAGTGGATTCCCGTTTGTCTCCCCCCATTGCTGTAGGTTATCTTCTGAACCTTCCTTTTGGC